AGCCTTCCAAGTAGCTGGAACTACAGGCACGTGCGACCGTGCCCGGCTAATTTTGTATTTATTTTTTATTTTTATGTATTTTTTTGAGTTGGAGTCTCACTCCATTGCCCTGGGCCGGAATGCAGTGGCACATTCATGGCTACCCCAGTGTCGACCTGCTGGGCTCCAGCGATCCTTCTGCCTCAGCCTTCCAAGTAGCGGAACTGCAGGCACGTGCTACTGCGCCCAGCTAATTTTGGATTTTTTAAACTGTAGAGACGAGGTCTCGCCAAGTTGAGCGGGCTAGTCTTGAACCTGCAGGCTCAGGCAATCCACTCACCTCTACCTCCCAAAGGCGCCGGGATGACATGCTGAGTCACCGAGCCTGGCCCATTCTATGCACTCTTAACAATATCTTCCTTCACTCTCTTTCTCTTATTGGAGTCCATATGACTTGATTTATGTGAGATCGGTGAGGTGTGATGCAACACCATTGTACTCATAATCTCGGCGTTCTAAGCCCTAACTGTAGCCCAGGGTGGATTAACTAACTGGGTTTTAGATCCACCAAATAACACAGTGTTTCTGATGACATCAAGATCTTGATCAAGATCAGAACCTAGGGCGTTGGCCTTGTAGAAATTAAAATAAAAATGGGCAAAGAGCTTGCCTTGAAATATTGGATAGGAAGCATATGTCTCCAGAGACAGAAAGCTTTCGTAGAAATTCTGACTCTACCATTTCCCGAGGGTGAGTTCCTTCAAGTCTCTCTACTCCAGGTTCCTTCCTGGAGGTTGTCACAAGGGTTCCACGAGCTAATAAATGTAAAGTGATTCAAACAGTGCCTGGCACAGACTGAATAATGCCATAGAAGTGTTAGCTATCACTTCTATGCTAGTGTTATTATTCACAGCATTTGCATAGCACATCGGGGACGCTCTTATCCTAAAAGTTTAAATAAAACCAGGCATTTCACTCGAAGGCACACACATCCACGCACCTTTGAATTAAGACAGCAGATAGGCAGGACCCTTGACTCTCTCTGCATAAGCACAGCACGGCTAAAAATGGCTGTCTGGGGAACAGAGTGCTTGGATTCCAGGATAGGAGTCCCCCTTCTCCTTCCAGGAAGGAAAAGAATGAATGCTGCTTCAGAACTCCAAAAAAAAAAGTTTATTTATAAAATACTGACAGTTTGACAGGACATGGGACTTCTCGTGGTATATATTGCAAATGAACTCCTTTACCTTTCATTAAAAAATAAACTTGCTAACAAGCTATATGACATATAGATATATATTTTTTTCTTACAGATAGACACCTGCCGTAATGAATACTCTCCCCATAATTTTTCCTTATATCTTTTAAATCAAAAAATAAAGATTTGTGTTGGTTTCTGTTTTTGGAGTCTAGGTGGGTGAAGAAAGGTAACACATTTAAATGCTTTTGGTTATTCTTATGGAAACAGAGAGAAGGGGGGTGGTCCCAAGGGGGCACCTGTGCTCAAGGTGGTGGTCGAGGTTGCTGTGTGTGCGTGCCCACCGGCGACAGGACCACACAGAGACACTGGGGGGTGGGAGGCGGCTGTCCAGATGGTCGTCTCCTCTACCCAGCCCCTCATCCAGGGTAGGCACCTTCAGACGTGCGCTCTGGGAAGGTGAGGGAAGCCCCTGCCCAGCCAGAGTGGCACTACGGCGAGGCTCTGGCACCTTTAGAAGCACTGCCCGCCGGGGGGAGTGACAGAAGGCCTTGAGACAGTGTGCGCCAGGCGGGGCAGCCCCCGCTGTGTCCTTGTTTCCTCCAAATCACGGCAGTGTCAGGTTTGGGGGGTGGGAGTTGGAAGTGGGGGGCAGAAGGGGGAGGCAGCCTGGGCTTGCAAACTCCGTGGAGCCCTAGAGAAAGGTGCTCCTGGAACCCAGAGCATCTTTTTGGTTTGTCTTGGCAGTCTGGGCGAGGTGCTGACACCAACTCTGTAGACACAGCCAGGAGGGGGAGGGAGCAGCACAGACTCCTGGGTGCAACACTGGGACATTTCCTTAGGGCATAGTGAGGCACCGCCAAAGGTGCCAGGTGTGTCCTGGTGTGAACCTGCTTTGGGTGGAGTCCCATGGGCAGGGCCCTGGCGTCGCTGGCTCAGGAAATCAAAGGCCAGGTTACCCATGGGCAGTGCCCACCACCCCTTTCCAAGGTGGCCAGGTGTGTGTGTCGGGGAGGGGGCGGTCGGTGGTCTCCACTGCCCCAGTAGATATGTAAACAAGGGCAAAGAGATGTCTCCTTAGAAAAATCTAGAGCTCTACAGCTGGAGACCTGGGTTTCCAGATGTGGCAGGGGCGGCGGAGGCAGTATTTCAGATGGGTGGTTAGACTAAGAGTGGGACTTTCACCTTGGTCCCAGCCTGACCTCATGGGCTTGTCTAAGAGTTCTGGCTCGCACCGTGTCCTCACCCTCTCAGGCAACAGACCCAGCCGCACCCAAGTGCAAGTGACCTGGGCCACCTGTGCCTCACAGGGGAGAGACAGCTTAGACAATCAGAGCAAGTCACAAGATCCTCTTTGCCAACACAAGTACGGACATGCGTCTGTACATATCTGTGTGTGCACGTGCCTGGGCACAGGTGTGCACAGGCACCGCTGCGTGTGCATGTGTGCGTCAGCAGGGTGCCGAGAGTGGGTGGGGAGGAAGAGGGGGGGAATATCTTAGTGCACCAGGTGATTCATTAAAGGCAAAGAAAATTGGCCTCATGTGCGATACAAACACACATACACAATATTTTTACTCACCCTGCTTCCTCCCCAAAAAATCCCTCACTGCGGTGGGCTAAAATCATTCCCCAATGCAAACTGGGAACTTCCTTAAACGGTTAAACACTCAGCAGACAGGGAAATGGATGCTGTTGTTTCAAAAAAAAAAAAAAGATGAGAGAGGAAAGAAAAGAAAGTGCGGTGGCACGATCACAGGCCAGCGCTGCAGATGTTCTTTTCTGGAGACGTCAGATGCTGGGGTGGGGGTTGGGGGAGGCAGGGGTGGGCCGGGGAGTCCAGCTGCTTCCACAGCAGCCGCCCCCCCCACAAGTCCTGGGCGGGCCTAAGCACCTTACTTCTGGAGGAGCAAAGCCTCGCCGGGTGTCCTTCCCTGGGGGAAGGACTCTGCTTCCCTTTCAAGTCCCCTTAGTGGACATCGGTGGAGAAACCACTGTTTGGACACTGGAGCTGGGCCAGCCTGTCTGCCCAGCCAGCTTCCAACATGTCCCCGTTCACAGTTCCCAGGGGTCAAGTGCACTGGCAAAAAGTCATGGCTGGGTGTGCCCTTCCCTTGGGCCCCAGATACTGACTTCCTTCCCCAGGCACCACTAGCAGAATGACTGATTTGGGGCTGGTGGGAGGCGTTCGGGCTCTTTCTGCCTTGGTTCATTCCCGAAATCCTCCCCGCACTCCCTTCACCCGCCTGAATAGGGCAGGGCCTGTGCTTGCATACCCCGAGCCCTGCGCCATGAAGGGCCTCACTGGCATCGGGCATGCCCCTGCTGGGCCATCTCCCTTCCGCCCCCAGCAGCGGGGGTGGGCCTCAGCTGGCTTCACAGGCCTGGCTGGGAGTGTGGAGGGCCTTGGACAGCCCAGGGAATAAGACAGAAAGGCCCCTCCCTAAAGCCCTGCACCTGGACGTACCAAGCAGATGGAAAGGTCCAGGCCATCAGAAGTGACTTTTTGGAGAACATTCCTTGGAGCAGATTGTGTGTGTGTGTGTGTGTGTGTGTGTGTGTAAAAACTTTCCCTCTCATGAGCTATTCTTGTCCCTTGGTTCCCTCTGACCTGCCCCTGTTGGCCAGTCTGGCCACACATCTCGAAGGCGGTGTCTGCTTTGGACTAGCTTTCTGACCAGCCCTTCCATTCCCAGCCCTCACTTGGGGCTGGGTGCTCTTTGCCTCTTTGTAAACCAGGTGCTGGTCAAACAGGGCCCGCTCTGGCTGCTCCAGCCTCTGGACCAAGGACTTGGGCTGCCCCTCTGGGCTCCTGTGCCTCTGTGCTTAGGAGGCTGTGGGTTGAAAGCCAGAGGGACATATCTGAAAGTGAGTGTGCTGTCTGGACAGGAGGGGCCAAAAGGGTTTCTTCTGGGGGGACCCTCCAGGCTCTCTTCCTTGCAAATGCATGGGAGGCGTGTGTGTGTGTGTTGTGTGTGTGTGTGTGTGTGTGTGTGTGTGTGTGTGTGTGTGTCCGTCCAGTGGAGAGTGACGTGTCTGCCCAGATGGTGACCCCTCACCCCCGCCTAGCTCCCAGCCTAGGCAGCTGGATTTCCTTGTTTTAGCAGTTCCCGCTTCTCTCCTCCTTTAAGGGTGGGGCAGGTGGTACCTGGATTGGCAAAAAGAGAACAAAGCTTCATTCCCATCTTCCCGACTTCCCACAGTGCAGCACAACCAATTATCCCACGGTGCCAGGCTAGCCACCTGCTAGTTCTTCGACACTCCTTGTCCATGCTTAGGAAAGTGAATTCCAGCCAAGGGAAGCAGGGTCCAGTTGTGGAGGGACTGTCCCCACAACTTGGGGCCTCTTCCTTGAATCCACAATTTTAAAAGGTATGCAGGAACAAGGAAGCAGCGAAGCAAATTCTCACTCTTTAAATTTTTTTTTCCTTTTTCTAAATAAACCAAATGCTTCCTCGAGCAGCTGAGCAAGGGAGGTGGCGGTGGCGGTGGCCGAGGCAGGGTGGGGGTCTGGGCAGGCCATCTGATGTCTGCCACACTGGGAGGGCGTTGGGGGGAGCAGAGAGAGGGCAGGCTTTGCCTCTGGGATGTCCCTCCTTTCTGCAGACAAGTGGCCGGCGGTGGGTCTGGGGACCCAGCATAGGCCGGAAGGGGGCAGCTGGCTGGATGTCCAGAAGCTTCTTCCTCCCTCAGCCACGCCTGCCTGACAGCCTCCAGCCCTCTGCTTCCTTCCCCTCCCTTCAGGGGCCTGACCCACTGTGTGTCCACCACAGCAGTGCTCCGTGCCAATCCCGGCCGAGCAGGGAACCCAATCTCGAGGTCGCCACACATCCTCTCGTGGTTTTCTCCCTCCTTCTCGACACCGGCTTCGCCGGCCCTGGAATCTGGAAAAACAAACTAGGGAGGTGAAAAGTTGACTTGGTTTCTTGGCGTTTTTGTTTTCTGGAGGGCAGTGAGAGGAGGGGTGAGGGAGGAGCTTGGTGCCATGTTTCTTCCTTTCCTTTTCCTCTTCTGACGTCAAACGAACGATGAGAATCCTGCTATAGGAGCCCGGGATCCAGGGGCGAGACTGCTGGGGGGACGGTAGAGGGTGCTCTGCTGACTCGGGGGGTTCGGGGGGTTTTGGGGCGTTGGAGTCCGGCTGGCCTTGGGCCGAAAGAGGCTGCCCTGCTGGGTGCTGGTGCTGTTGGCCATGGTGGCGTGGTCCGGCTCGCCCGAGTCGCTCTCTGTGTAGCTGTACGCCTGCGCCCGCGAGATTCCCTTCTGCTGCCGCCGCCACGAGTTGTAATACGTGGGGTCGCTGATGTAGTGGTTGACAAAGGAGTGGGCCTTTTGGTGGCTGGAGTCGACCTCGTATTCACTGTCGCTTCCCTGGGAGGACAGAGAACCGGGGTGTCAGTGGCCCCTGGGGACCGGTCACTATGTGGGGGCTAGGAGGCACACAGTGCTCTGTGAGTATCTCCGCTCTGTCTCTCTCAAGACTTGGGCTGTGGGCCTCTCGCTGCCAGAGGGCACGATGCCCCCTTATGCCCACTTTCCGCTTCCTTCAGAGCAGATCCCGGACATGAAGTGTCTACTACGGCGACGGCCGGGAGCCAGGAGACACCAGGTGTGAATCAGGAGACCTGAGCTCTAACCTGTGTTTTCAGCCGAGGTGAAATTCACGTAACATAAAATAAATCAGGCTGGGTGCGGTGGCTCATGCCTGTAATCCCAGCACTTTGGGAGGCCAAGGCAGGGAAATTGCTTGAGCCCGGGAGTTTGTGACCAGCCCGGGCAACATAACGAGACCTCCTCTCTACAAAAAAAAAATAAAAAATAAGCTGGGCATGGTGGTAAGCGCCTGGAGTCCCAGCTACTCAGGAGGCTGAGGTAGAAGGATTGCCTGAGCCCAGGAGGTCAAGGCTGTGGTGAGCCGAGGTTGTGCTACTGCACTCCAGCTGGGCAATTCTCTCTCACTCCCCCCATCCCACCTCCGGCAGCCACTTGTCTGCTTTTTGTTTCCAAGGATTTACCTATTCTGAGTATTTCATATAAATGGGAGCATACACTGTGTGGCCTGTGCATCCGGCTTCTCTGACTTGATGTAATGTTTTCGAGGTTCTCCCACAATGTACTCATCTGGGTCCAGCCTCTGATTTCCTTCGTAACTGGGAGCAAAGCCAGAGGCAGATGAAGACCTTCAGCGGCCTCAGGCAGCAAAAAATGCCAGCCCTGCCCATGTGCCATCCAAAATAAAAGCAGCACTTAGCTAGGAAGTGAGCGCGAGAAAGATATCAACATGAGTTCTGGAGCTGCACGTGGTGACCACCTTGAAGTGGTTTGAGTTGTTTTTTTTTCTAAAGATAAAACATGAGATTATTCTTAATGTTTTTTCATACTTTGGTGTCCCAGGCAGGGGCTTTGTCTGCCTATGGGGGACATCAGCCCAAGGCAAGAGTCAATCTGCGTTTGTAAAGTGAAATCTGAATTGTGGAGCTAAAAATACCATGTGTCCCTCCCCCACCCGAGCTCCCAGCAATGTTTTGAGAACTAACAAGACAACAGATGGACCGCCCTCAGAACTCTCTGGAAGAGAAGCGCTCTGATTTTAGCGAACAGCACACGCTCGGTGAAATGCGGCTCAAGGAGCCCACCAGGGCTTCCTGGGCCCAGCTCAGCAAATGTCTCTGCCTGGGGACAGTTACCAAGTTGTACCAACCCAAGAAAAACAACATGGGGGTAGACACCGCAGCAAGAAACACAGTCATCCCCATGCAAATGAGACAAGATGGAGGGGTGACCCGGCCAAGGGGTCTGAGCTATGGGGAATGGGACACACAACTAGTTCTCAGGAGCTCGGAGTCCTTCGTAACATTGGGACGCTCAGAGACCTAGGGAGGCAAAAGCTGCAACCCATAGAGGGATCAGGACCTGGGCTGCTGGAGCAGGCACCGCTGACTTGTATTATTGCATTTAATCTTCACACTTCCGAGCCCTGGGTACTACTGCAGCCTGAGTACTGCTGCTGCCTGAGTACTGATGCCCTGTGAGTCCTGATGAGAACTCAAGTGCAGAAAGGATGAGGGTTTGCCCAACAAAACGGTCTCGTTGGGCTTGAACTCAGATCTGCTGGATTTTCTAAAGCCCAAGCATGTACCTCCATACTCCTGCCTGGAGCTGCCCTCACTCCCAGTGGGGGTGAAATACTCCCTAGTCCATCTGCTCGTTTATACCCTCTGGCCCTCCCCTCCGTCTCCTCACCCTTCCACAACTCCAGCCACTCTCCTTCCCAGCCCGCAGCAGACACCGCTCCCCCACCCCTCCCAGGACCTCAATTCTCTTGGCGGGCAGAGCCGGCTGCCCAGGACAATGGAGACTTCTCTGTGACGCAATGCGGCACAATAAAGCCCCTTTCTGTGCCTACTGCCCAGCTGCCGGCCCAGGAGAACAAAGGGGTGCACAGGCGGGGTGGGGGGACTCCATATGCCGAGGGTGGGCACCTGACGCTGGGGCCGAGGGGAGGCTGGTCTGAAGGCAGGGGCAGTCAGAGGGAACATGTGTGGCAGGTGACTGGGGGTCCGTTCCGCCCGGGGCTGGTGAGGGCCTGTGGGCGGGAGGGACCAGAGAGGGATCCCCACATTTTCCCTCAGGTCCGGTCTTTCCACCCACTGACTGGCTTGCATGGTGGCTAGTGTCTGAGGTTCGAGGATTTTGGCTAGCCGCCGGCACCAAAAGGAATCCCCAGAGCACTGCGGTCCCCATCCCAGTGCGTGAGCCTCTGGGCTGTGAGGTGATGGCAGCATGGGGAAGTTCCAGCCTCAGTCTCTCTGTCTGCAAAACGGGTAGGTCCCCACAATCCATAAGGTGGAATGAGCTAACACCTGAGAGAATGCTCGAAGAGGGATGATTAGGGAGAGAGTGAGGATGGGCCCAGGCAGGAGGGGACAGAGATCAAAGCCCCCCTGGGAGGAATCAGAAGGGGCCAGGGAGCCTGGGAGGCTGACTCGGTGCTCAGGCAGCTGGGGAAGGAGGGCGTTCAGCTCCTGCCCTCCGATCCTAATGCCTAATTCCAAGAGCGGGACAGGTCTGGATCCCGAGCAGAGAGGGGAGTGGGCTTCTTTGGCCTCCAGTCACCCAGACCATCACCAGCCACCAGCCACTACCTGCCGAACAGCCCTTGGGTGCCAGGCACTCTGATGGGGTCGAGAGGCTCCAAAGGGAAGAGTTGGGAGCCAAACCAAGCTGGCGCCTCTGGAGGGGCCGGGCGGGGAGGGTCAGGGTTGCCTCTTCCCTTCAGCTCTCCAAAGCCCAAGGAGGGGGTCTTTGCGTGAGCAACTGCCGCTCCGCCTCCATGTCCAGGAACATCTGTTTCTTTTGGGGGTGGGGGTGGGGTGAGAAGAGGAGAAAGAACCTGAGGAGGGGACCCAGGGCTCTTATTGCAGCTTCCAACTCTCAGGGGCCTCCGGTAATTGAATGCAGTTTCCCAGGAACCCGCCCAGCACAAAGGGGGCCTTTCAGGGGCTGTCCCCAGCCTGCCAGGCCGCCAGGCAATCAGGCCGCGGCTTCAGCTCTCTGGTCTCTTAACAGCTCCTCAAAGCCACTCAATCAACAATTACCCGGGGGAGGGGAGGGCAGTCTCCAGGCCTGGTGATCCAGCGGGGAGGGACCCGAAGGAGGGAGGACCCTGGAGGAGAGAGGCAGCAAGCCAAGCCCTTTCGCCTTTTTGTTCACCTCTAGCCCAAAGTTTCCCGCACGGACTCCGCAGGCGATGGGGTGGGAGGCAGCTCTGGGCTTGAGGATGGTGTTGAGACCCTGGGGCGGGCAGAGGACCCTTATCTGGTTGAATCTTTTTTTTTTTTTTTGAGTTGGAGTCTCACTCTGTCGTCCAGGCTGGAGTGCCGCGGCATGCTCACAGCCACCCAGCCCAGCATCGACCTGCTGGGCTCAGGTGATCCTTCTGCCTCTGCCTTCCAAGGAGCTGGAACTACAGGCGTGCGCTACCACACCCGGCTAATTTTTGATTGATTGTGAGACAAGGTGTCGTCTGGCTGAATCTTATAACGTCTTCCCAAGAAGACAGAGAAGTCACCCTGTGCTGCTCCTTTGGAGACTGGAAGCTGGAGTCCCGCTCCCATCCACAGTCCCATCTACAGTCGCCTCTGTGCACAGCGCTCCAGACTGTCCTGCTGGATGCCCCCACCTTAAGCCAGCTAGGGTTCAGTCCCCTCTGGACTCGAGGTGGGCTGGGGTCATGTGCTAAGAGACATCTCCTGGGCGTCTCTGAAGAACCTCACTGGAAATCTCCCAGGAATGTCCTTTGAGAACTGTCAGCTCAGACACAGTGTCCCATGTGCTACATGTGTCTCTATAAGTAAAGGGACAACTAATGCGTGCTCCCACCCCCAGCTATCAGAGATATCATCTGTGGTCAGGGTCTCTCGGAAGGTCTCTGGGTGGAGTTGGAATCAGCCAAGCCTCTCTCCTCCAGCCTCCCCTCTGTGCCGGGTAGCTGGATAAGTCCAGACTGCAGTGGGCACAGCTCTCAGAGTCAACCGGACCTAGATTTGAATCCCAGCTGCCTGTACTTCTGAGCTCTGTGACCAAGGCACCCTACTTCACTTCTCTGAACCCCAGTTTCCCCAGCTGTTAAGTGGGGATCATCCCACTTGCATGGAAGGGTGATTAGATGTTAAATAAGAACATACAGAGCCCAGGGAGTGGCACAGAGTAGGTGCCCATGATGTGACCTGGCCTCCCTCTCCCTGGACTCACTCTGCTCTGCACTGAGGTGCTGAGTGTCACAAGCCTGGGCTGCCAGGGTCACCTCAGGGAGATGAGACCCTGGCTGAGCCTGGTAGACTCATGGCCCCAACCTGATAGACAGGTCACAGCCACTCTGCAGGAGGGGCGAGGAGAGAACAAGACCACCGCTCCAGCCACCCACCCACCCACACAGCCCCCTTCTGTGCATGACTTGGTCCTGTTCGCACTTGGCGGCCCAGCTCAAATAAACACCACCTCCTCCAGGAAGCCTTCTCAGAGCCTCCAGGCAGTATGGCCACGTCTCCTCACAGATTTTATCTGCCACACAAAACAGACTTTTGTTCACCACTCTCTTCCTGAAATTATGGTTCCATAATAGTTTAATGAGAAATGAGGCTGGACGTGGTGGCTTATGCCTATAATCCCAGAACTTTGGGAGGCCAAGGCAAGAGAATTGCTTGAGCCCAGGGGTTCGAGACCAGCCTGAGCAACTTGGGGAGACCTCGTCTCTGCAGTAAATCAAGAAAAACTAGCCAGGCATGGTGGTGCACACTTGTAGTTCCAGCTACTTGGAAGTCTGAGGCGGAAGGATTGCCTGAGCCCAGCAGATCAAAGCTGTGGTGGCC